GGTCCCGGTGGGCTCTGCCGGAAGCGGGAAACGGCGGCCACCGAGGCTCGTCTGCGTTCTCGGTTGGCTGCGCCTGTGTTCTCGCCTGTTTGCGTCCTGGGCTAGGTGAGCAGGGGGAGTGGAGAGGAGCGATACGTCGCCCTCGCAAGACTTCGCTCTCTCCCGAAGCCTGGGATTCACCACTAAGCTTTGGCCTGACACTTCTCCGTCCGCGACGGTCTAGTGGAGAGGCGGGGTGGGCGACGCTGCACTTTCTCCTCCGTGCAGAAGCGGGACTATTCGAGACGCACGGTGAACGTGAAGCTTTCTCCAGTCTCCGACTCCCAGCCACTTTACACAGATGAACGGTGTCCCTTCCGCTCGTGTTAATTGGCGAACTACTTCGCAGACCTGGTCCTTGAATAACCAGATTTCTCAACGCACCCTTGCGCCTATCTATAGGCAATGGGACGCGCACGAGATTGAAGCTCCGAGCGCTGAATGTAGGTTCAGGTGTTTATTAGGACACGACTTTAGGACAGTGTCAGGCTGTCAGTGTTGTGCGTAAAACAAATGCTAATGTGCGTTTTCTAGTGGTTTTGGCAAGAAGCAATGAACATGCATGAAAAGCTTTTATTCTCTCCCTACAATATTGCCTCACAGTGGAGCCAGCAGGTGGCGTGGTGGTTAAGGTGGTGGACACACCCTCGTGGCCGACCAGGGTTCGAGTCGTAGACCTGGTGGCTTGCTTTCTCACTTTCTCTCTTTCCTTCTCTGTGTCTCTGTATGGTTAAAGAACAAATGAATGAATAAATAAAATTAAAGTGAATCATTCTTTTTTAAAAATTGCCTCATGGTGCTGTCATACTTTTAACTTATTTATTTCAACATTTAGCTTATTTTGATCCTCCTCAGTAATTCTTTTTTTAAAAAGGTATTTAACTTTATTTATTTATTTTTAATTTGAAAAAAGGTATTTAAATTTATTTATTTATTTTTAATTTGACCAGAGAAGGACAGAGAGCAGGAGAGAGAGAAAAAGTGAAAAAGCAAGCTGCCAGGTCCAGGACTCAACCCGCCATAGGCCATGTGAGAGTCCAGCACCCTTAACCACCATGCCACATGCTGGCCTCCCTCCTCAATAATTCTGAAGAGTCAGTATAATCTTGGGAACCAGCAGTTAGCGTAATGGCTATGTCGCTGGACTCCCACGTAGTCGACCGCGGTTCGTGTCCCGGACCCGGTGGCTTAAAACTCACGCCGGGCGCGTGTGCGTGCGTGCCCAAGATCCCGAGAGGAGAATGGAGGAGAAGGGATTGCGGCGTGACCATCCCCCCTGGGGGGTGATTTCTCGCTTTCTATCTCTATGTCTCTCTCTGTCTGTCTGGCGAGCGCACGCGCCCTACAGTGAAAATCTCTCTCTCAAAAAAAAAAGAGTCAGTATAATCTTGTTCTGAGTGTAAGTGACTTGTCCAGGTCACCAGGCTAAAGAGTGGGAGAGCTGAGGCTTGAGCCGAGACTTTCAGCACTCATGGTAGATACATGCCTGCTCTCTGTCTCTGGAATTAAACCTTAATATATATTCAGGACTGCAGTGACTTCAACCACGTTCTCGGTTTATGCTTTACTGTCTGGTGGTAAGGTGTCAGTCACTATCCCAGTTCTCCCCTAATTTGCTTCCTAGTTTCTTATGTATATGTGTCTGCAGCCTCCCAATGGGACCATATGATTTTCGTTTTCTTTCCTTTCTTCCTGTTGTGAAGTTTTGGTTTTGTTTTAAATTTTGCTAAAGGATGGGGCCAGCAGTTAGTGTAATGGCTAAGTCGCTGGACTCCCACGTAGTTGAACACAGTTCAAGTCCCAGATCCAGTGGCTTAACTCACACCAGGCGCGTGTGCGTGCGTGCCCAAGATTCCAAAAGGAGAATGGAGGAGAAGGGATTGCAGCGTGGCCATCCCCCCTGGGGGGTTATTTCTTGCTTTTTGTCTGCCTCTCTCTGGCGAGCGCACACGCCCTATATCAAAAACCTCTCCAAAAAAAAAAAAAATATATATATATATTTTTGCCAAAGGACATGTGTGCTTGCCAGAGAGAGACAGAGATGGTACCCTCCCCATGGAGAATGGTCATGACTGCAATCTCTTCTCTGTTTCATTGTCCTGTCCAGATTTTTGGACACACTAAAACCACATGGTCCAGGACTCAGACCTGTGGTCTGCCACGTGGGATCCAGCTCTCCTAACCACCAACACATGGGCTGGCCCAA